ATTACCACATTAAATATTAGTAAAATAGGGTATGTTATGGGCTTTTCATTTTCTTACAGAGATAGCATCATTTTGTGTAATTTCAGCTTGCAACTCCGGTGTGTGTGTGTGTGTAGACATGCAGGGAGTCACACGGAAGACCAATTAGGAAGACTATTAATCCTTCCCAATTTTTGATAGAATTGAAGCAGTTTTTCTTCTAAATATATAACATAATTTCACAGTTTCCTGAGGCAAAAGTCAGAATTTTCTCCCATTGCTTGTCTGTTTGCTGACTAGGACCAGAAAATTAGTAAGAGAGGAAGTTGGTAAGGATTTGAACGGTCAGCTCAGTGGCCTTTCAGGACTTTCTCCCTGGACTGCCTGTCTCTGTCCCCGCACTGGGCGGAGCAGCTGAGTGTGTGTATGGCAGAGGCTGGGGAACGCGGTGGGTTTCAGGGTTCTGACCAGAGGGGAGTCTTGCTTGAGGGAAACGCTTGCTTCTGGGCACAGGTACTGTTAGTTTCCTGCGGCTGCTGTAACACATACCCACAAATGTGTTGTGTTAAAACAACGCATATTTATTCTCTTACAGTCCTGGAGGTCAGAAGTCTGAAATCAGGTTCACAGGGCTGCAGTCAAGTCGTCAGCAGGGCTGCCCCGCTTCTGGGCGCTCCAGGGGAGAGTCCCTTTCTGTGCCTTTTCCAGCTTCGAGAGCTCTGTTCTTTATCCTCCTTGGCCCGTGGCCCGTTCTCCATAGTCAAAGCCAGCAGCACAGAATCTGATTACATCGCCTTCTTCTGCGGTAACCTCTTCCCCGCCTCCCTCTCGTAAGGGCACTCGCGGTTATATGTAGAGTCCACTGGATCCTTAACTTGGTCACATCCGCAGAGGCCCTTTTGCCATGTGAATGAACACATTGACGAGTTCTGGGGATGAGGACGGAGGCATCTTTGGGCCAACTTTTTGGCCTACCACAGGCACCAGGGACGTCTTCACCCGGGAGACCATGACTACAAGCTAGTGGCGTAGTGCTCAGAGCTGCGTGACTGTAAAACTTTAAAGTTCTTTTTTTTTTTTACAAATTATAAAACTATTTCTTGGTTGTTGTCTAAAAAGAAAACTGAGATATTCCTGTGGAGAAGAAAATAGTTAATTTGGTTCAACCATAATAATTCTGGGTATGAAAACACCACAATAAATTCAGAGTACCATGGAACTCGTAAGACAGGCTTTAGAGAGCAGCTTTGGTGGTTGAACAAGAAAGGGGCAGAAAGCGGAGAGGTAAGGGCCTTTCAGGGAGCTGGGATAGGAGGAGCAAGGCCCAGAGATGGGAAACCAGAGACTGTGTTCAGGACGTTGCAAGAAATGGGTTAGCTTAAGTAAGGAGAGAGGACGCTGGGGTGGAAGGCTGGCTCTCGGCGTTGGGTGGAGGAGTCTGTAATTCGTTTCTCAGTCCGGGAGAGTGGCGTGGGGTAATTTGGTTTAGGGAGAGGTGGGCTGGCAGTGAGGAACCCACTTTTGTAGAAACCACAGAAAGGCTTGCCTTAGGGTAGTGATAGTATGAATGAAAAGGAGAGAAATTCTAGAGAACTTGTGGTGGGACTTTGGCAATTGAATGCTAAGTGTGAAGTAACGGGGGAAAAAAGAGGCCAAGGTGACTTTAAGAATTTAAGCCTGGGTGACTGGACCATGAAAGTAGTTCATGGGGTTGTACTTTAAAGGATGCCCTAGAGGGTTAGGAAAAGGAGACAGAGCAGCAAAGGAAACATCAGCGGTGTAGGGAAAGAAGCAGGACAGTGTGGCGTCTGGGAGGGGAGGGAGGAGAGCACTTTGAGAAGGAGATTGGTGCAGTGGGTCCAGATGCCGTGGAAAGCTGGGGCAGGATAGAGGCCGTCGAACGTGGCTGGATCAGGGGTCCCAGGCCCCCTCAGGCTAGAAAGACTCACAGGACTCAGCAAAGCTGGTGTACTCATGGTTACAGTTTATTACAGCAAAAGGACAGGTGAAGTCAGCAGAGGAAGGGAGCCTGGACTGAGGTCCGGGAGAAAGCAGGGCGAGCTCTCAGGAGTCGCACAAACGTGCGCAGTTCTCTCGGCAACGTGTGGCAGCACGTGACAGGTGTCGCCAACAAGGGGCGCTCCCCCGAGCCTGGGTGTGGAGAGGGCGAGTTGGGAGGCGGTCACAGCGGCATTCTGCCTGCATGGCTGACCTCAGCTGCTCAGACTCCAGCCAGAGTGAGAGTTACCGTACATCCTGCTGCTAGCATGTACTGCTCAATCAAATCGGTGCCCTGTTGCCCAAGGCCACAGCCACACAAGAAACACTCCCATCAGGCAGAATATCCCATGGGCTCATCGCTCACTTCTCAGGAGCCAGCCAGCGACCTGAGGACAGGCCTTCCTAGGGAGTGCGGCGTCCCAGCACCCCGGGCCTGCTGGTTACCTTCCAGCATGGCGGTGGCTGGGAGCCCACTGGCAGAGTCTGGGAAAGGAGTTTCCGGGAGCAGTGATGAGAAGCCTCGGTACCGGTAGCTAGGCAGGGGTGAGAATGAGAGCTCAAGAAGATTGGAAATGAAAGGACAGAGAAAGATCTGTAGCCTAAGAGAATTAGTGGCACTGAATTTTTTTTTGAAGCAAGGAGAAGGTAAATATTTTATAAGCAGAAGGAAGCAAACATTAGAGGGAGGGGTGGAAAATGCAGGCACAGGAGAAGCGATCAAGTTTGGAGCCATGTCTGAGAGGTGGTGCTGTTTGCTGTGAAAGGGAGGAAGACACTCCCTTCTCAGAGAGAAGAGTGAGGAGGAGAGAGCGAAACGCTGGGAGAACGAACGTACTGCCAGGTGGTCAGGCGTTCCTGACCACCAGCGAGCGCTGGTGCACTTCTGTCGGGACGCAGTGAGCCCTGGTGGACTTCGCCAGTGTATTACTCACTGCACCGCAGGCAGCATCCACTTCATGCTCATGTTGCTTCCCCTTGTCCCGCAAGTCCCATGGGGCCACGAGGACACTGTACACACTGGGGGTCTTTGTTCCAGCTGAGGAACACGGAGCCCCCAGTTTTATAAGGGAGCCGTTAGCAATCCTGCCCAACCTTTGTCTTGATCATGTTATCTTTATTATTCTGGTCTGGAAGTGAATCTGCCCTGGCCTGCAGGGAGCAGCACATTGGCTTCAAAGGCTGTCCATCATGCACATGCCCTTGACCAAAGCTATCAGTTTCCTTGGTCAGAAGATACTCAGAAATGCCACTCCCATGAGGAGTAATCTCCATGGAGATTAAAAAATATATACAGGTTTATAGAAATTATATGAAGATATGCTTGTAAGTAAAGACATTTTTGGGTGTAGAAGAGAAGGTGAGGAAGACCACCTTGGCCCTGTCCACTGTCTGATGTTGCGAAACTGGGTTGAGTTAAGGCTGAGGGCTATGTGTCCTTCCCACCGTTTCCTCTCAGACTGGTACAGTGCCTTGGGCCCGTGGGTGCTCAGTGAACACTTGTTGAATGATGAATGAATGAGGAGCTTTAAGTCATGCCTCCTCCTTGAGAGGGAGGGTGGGCCCCCTCCGTGATTTCTGGAGGGTTTATTTAGCCTCGTGTGTGTACTTTGCCTCTAGGTCCATTTATAATGCCTGTTTCACCTAGAGAAACGTACTGATCTAACTGACATATAGGGCGCCTACTTTAATAATAAAATATTTTTTAAAAAGGATAAGTAAAAAGATGGAAGAAAGAAGGGTTTTGAGGAAATGGTGATGGGTTTTAGAGGAATGTACTAAGTTATGGTTGGAAGATCTTTATGCACACACATTTTACTTACATAATACAAATCTAAGTTACAGCATTTTAGTATGATCTTTAGAATGGTTACTGCCTGGGTTTTCAGGGTGGTGTCCTAAAACAGCAGTGCTGTGCAGCTGGTACTGAAGTTTCTATTAAAGAAAAACCCTGTATAACAGATGTGTTTGGCCCAGTGCGAATCAATGTCTGTAGCAACCGCTTTTTATGTAAGTGGAATCGGATGGCTAGAGAGTCATTTTAATGTTCTGTTAGGTTCTTTAAAATGGGGAGGCATTCAGGTTTCCATTGTTGAGGCTGGTGAGCAGCAATCCGGGTATGAAAATGAGAACGATTTGACTGCCTGTCTTGTGAGGCAGAATGAAGCACGGACTGTGGGGGAAGGAGCGGGGTCGACGAGGCAGGTTCGCTTCCAAGAGCCTTGTCTGCGCCCAGTTCTCTCCTCCTCTGCTCTCTGATCCGCGTGCTCCTGCCCCCTGCAGAATGAATTGGCCTGACGTTTTATCAGCTTTTGAAAAGTGGGGTGAAGTGGAGCAAATCTGAAAGAGAGCGGCGTGTTTCATCTCGTTCCTCGGTGTACTTTCCCCTCCTCCTTGGGAGCCATAAACGGCTGACTTGGTGTCCGCCCAGGTTTAGCTCCTCTCGCCGCCCTCGTGTTACGCCCGATCCTAATGTATGTGAAGTGAGAGAAGAGCGGGTCCAGGCAGTTCCCGAGTCGTGCACAGTCATCACGCCCTCTGCACCCCTACAGCCACGCGGGATCCAGTGTCTGCTGTGACTTGGACTTACTGCAAAATGACTTTCACTGGATTTCGTATATAACTTTTAAACTAATTACTGATTTTATATATACACAATACACAATTTTTTTTGAATGTTCATATGAGTTTATTAGGAATTTTCAGAATTATCAACTAAGTCTGGGTAGGAAAAAAACCATGTGCTGAGAAACCTTTCTGGTAACCTTAATAAAAATGGGTTAATAGCAATTGTAAATGCCAGTGAAATCCTGGGTGCTGGTCTGCATGAATCTGTGGATATGTATGTATGGCTGAAGGAAATAATCTGTAAACTGTCGCTTTCTGAGTATGATGTGTCTCTTCATTAAAGAACTGAGTTTTCACATGAACAACAAATCGACACTTGAAACAAAAATTTTAACTTGTTAGTGTTCCATTCAAATTGCATTAGGCACAGCTAATCATTATTTTTGGATGCCTTCCAGAGACAGATGGGACTGTGTTCAGAATTCTCACAAAAGCCGAAGGATTTATGGATGCGGATATACCCTTACAATTGGTGTTCCATTTACCGGTCAATTACCCATCGTGTCTACCTGGTGTCGTGGTTAACTCCGAACACCTGACCAGGGCCCAGTGCCTGACTGTGAAAGAGAAGTTACTCGAGCAAGCAGAGAGCCTTTTGTCGGAACCTATGATTCATGAGCTAGTTCTCTGGATTCAACAAAATCTCAGGCACGTCCTTAAGCAACCCGAAACTGGAAGTGGCAGCGAAAAGTGTACTTCCACAGTCAGCACGACTGCGGATGATGGATTGTGGATAACTCTTTTGCATTTAGATCACATGAGAGCAAAGACTAAATATGTCAAGACTGTGGAGAAGTGGGCTTCCGATTTAAGGCTGACAGGAAGACTGATGTTCATGGGTAAACTAATACTGATTTTACTGCAAGGAGACAGAAACAACATCAAGGTGCCAACAGTTTAATGTTGAATATGAATTTGGCCATTTTCTGCTGACGTGGTGTGTCTAATGTATAAATGTGTTTTATAACAGTGAGACCGATTAATCATTAAGATGTTTTTGCTTTCACTCTTAACATGTTAATGGATCGTTACTTTTCTTCTTAAAGAATATCTTTAACTTCTACTTACAACTACAGACTTGCAAAGAATAAGTAGAAGATTATGTTTTAAAAGTCATGCCGCTTACTGAAAGTGATAGGTTATTAAAAAAAATCTCTGTGGTGCATGAGTGTTTGTTTCTGTAATTAGCGTTGAGCCTAAACTTTATATAAATTTGCCCTAAAAGTTTGGGCATATTTTGTTTCTTTTCTTAAGCACAGCAAAGTGTGTATTTGTGAGTAGTCTGCAAAAATCTTAACTTTTTGGCATTCAAAGATACGTTCTGACGCTTGAATTGGTTTGTGCAGTACCTGGAAAGAGGAGCTGGTCCCTGCTAACCAGGATTCAGTGTGAGTGGAAGGAGAGTCGTTAGCGCTGTCAGCTTGTCACCTCCTCCCTAACTAACTTTTGCTTTCCACCTGACTTGTCTCAGCAGCTGCTTTCAAAGTCATCATCTTCTTCCCGTGTTTCAAGTTCTCATTCTAAACTCAACTAACCTGTGTGGGACCAGACAAGACAAGCTGCTTATTACCTTTTAAATCTTAAAAGAGCTACAAATAACCCAATAGGTTTTTATGCTTCCAGTTGGGGTGGGTCAGCAATAATTACAGTGGAATTTATTCTAAACAGATTTATGGATTTATCTTGCACAACCTATCATTTTACAGATTTGTAGGGTAACTACCTAGCTTTTTCACGGTGGGGTCTCATCACGAAACTTGCTGGTAAATAGCTTCGGCTAAGCAGAGTAGTGCTGGGTTATAGCATACAGGCACAACAAGCAATTCAGATTTATATAGATCCTGGGCTGGGGTCTGGCCAAGGAGCCACATATTTTAAGGTGATTTATAGTATATATATAAAACTTGATCCTTTTGGGTAAAATACTGGCTGGCAAAATGAATACAAATTAATTTCCTTGCTCATATTTCCCCAAAAGGCTCAGCTTTTTCTTTAAGCCAGCTCAGGCACATCAGGCTCAGGGCGGCTGATTTTCAGATGTTGCCCAAATTGGATCCATCAATTAATTACCATGCATTTAATCGTATGGCTGGAGCTCTGCTACTGCAGAGTACTTTTGAAAGAGTTCTTTCTTTTTTATTAGCTGTCCCTGAAATGTCATTTAACGTAAATATCTCTTCAGTTTTTATGGTTGTGTATCAGGAGAATTAGTTACATATTTATAGACGGCATCAATTTGGGACGTTAGGTGCTGTGCACCTCTGAACTTCATTCAGGCCTTGAAGTGGTAACAGTAATGACAGCAGCTGGCGCTGTGTTAAGCACCGTGTGCCAGGCGCCCCTCTCAGTGCTTTTACATGTATTAACCCATTTAATCCTCACAACTGCCCCGTAAGGTAGGTGTTGTTATGAGCACCATTTTGTGGAGCAGGTTACTGAGGCACAGAGGGTTGTTGTCACGAGTGCCAGGATCAGACCTAGCAGGCTGTCCAGTCTAGATTTAAGCCTATGTAGTTCGTTTACATCCTCCTTTTACTTCAGCACTCGCCAGTGCGTTATGCATCCAAGGATGTAAAGACACTGTGACTCACTACTTGATTCGGAAAGCAAGTCAGTACTCTGTAAGCATGAAAGTAAGCCGGCAGGTTTATGGCTCCTGTAAAACTAGGACTTTGAAATTCAGAGTAAGATATGTTTTTAATGTACTGCTTTATCCTCTAGGAGTACCTGATTCTTCAGAAAACCTCCAAAGTAGATGTGGACTCAAGTGGAAAGAAATGCAAAGAGAAAATGATTAGTGTACTGTTTGAAACAAAAGTACAGACAGAACACAAAAGGTATAATTTAGTACTATTGCAGATGGAAAAGCAACTGAATCGATAATTATACTCTGACAAATCTAAGCATATTCATGAGTTTCTCTTGTATAATGCAGGTTTCTGGCATTTGAAGTCAAAGAGTATTCATCGTTGGATGAGTTACAAAAGGAATTTGAAACTGCAGGACTTAAGAAGCTTTTCTCCGAATTTGTACTTGGGCTGGTAAAATGAAATGGGAGACAGGAGTCTTTCAGTGAAGCAGTGGTGGGGTTTTTGTTGTTGATTCTGCATTGGATTTGAGGAGCAGCTAATTGAAATACTCATAAGGGAACAATTTTAGAGTTTCTCTGAAGCAAAATGACAGACACCATCACAACTTTAGGAACAAAAGCCAATTCTGTTTATGGAATATTAAACAGTAAAAATAACTGTGTATTCTAATTTTTGCCAGTAAAGGCTTGGTTTAATAGATAGGATGTTATTTGAAAGATAAATATAAAAAGATGATGGTAAATGTGCCCTTGTGTTTATACAGAATATTTGTTTGGAACTGCGCTATTTTCTGGCCAATTTTCTCGTAATTAAGTGAATTTTTAAAAAGAGATTTATTTTCATGTTTACATGTTTAGCATTTGATCACAATTTTCCCCCATTCAGCTTATTATGTCTAATGTTTTAAGTTGAATGTTAAGAAAAATATAACACTGATTTTCTTTGTGGAATTGCATAAATGCTTAGTTTAAATACAAACTAAAGAAGTTCTATAGAACTTGATTTACAATTTCTTTCTTTGGGGTCCCAGAATAGCATGGTAGTTATAGGACTAGAGAGTCAATTTAGAATAAAATTCTCTTTTGAAATATTTACCTTCTAGTTTTATAAGGGGAGAAATGTTTCACACAAAATTAACTTGGCTTCCTGGATGGAGGAAATTATATAGAGATACTATTTTTTATTTCTTACGAAATTTGTTAAAGTATGATAACCTCAAAATGCATTTATTATGACCTGAGGAGAGAAGTCATAAAATAAAAGCTTGTGTTAAAATCTGTACCACAAGCATAAACAGGCACTTATGTTTGAAAAAGGATAGTTGTGTGCATGAAGCCACCTGTGCTTTGAATAAGGGGCCAAGTGATGGAAGAAAGGCCAGGCACATCCCTCTCACTGCAAGTACGGGATGTCATTATAAAATTATAACTGATGGGAGAGAGAACTGAGGAAACGTGCGGCGTGCTGAGCAGCGTTCTCGACAGGGCTGCCCCGTGACTGTGGCAGTTCGATCTGATTGGCTCGTTTTCAGGCGCCCTTGTACCTGTTGACTGTTTTATGGGGCTCCGTTAATGAGAGGGGATTTCGGTTCATTTATCTCACTCTAGAGTGTCGATGATGTTTTCCTGGAGAACTGGCAAGTGCAGCCAGGTGGTTCTACGGGAGGGTGACTTCTCGGGGCTCAGAAGCCACAAGGAGCCTGCGCCCGCGGCTGCAGCGTCGGAGGCTGTTGTCATTGAGCCTGGTTCTGCTCGAATGGTGCTGCCTCGAGTGGAGCTGCAGTTGCTGGCAGGAGGGAGTCAGAGTCACTCCACCCCTGTTGTGCCACCGCAGCAGCTGCCAGCAACCGCCAGGGCGCTGGGACTCTGCCTTCCTAGCAGCACCCCCACCTGGCCAAGCCCTACAGCAATACCGTCGGCCAAGAAGGCCGGGAAATGTAGTTCGCATGTCCCAGCCCCAGGGGGATGGGTGTGCCGCGGGAAGTGCGGGGAGGGAGCTGAGTGCCTATGGTACGGACCCAGCACGACCTCCCCTTTGAGCTGTTGAGCATCCACACACAGCCTTCTGCCCATGTTTAAACTCCTGTATGACAACAGGTTTATGCTTCTGTCTATGCAGATGTGACTATCTTTTATACAAATGAAGAAACTCTCACCTTCTTCCCAAAAAGGGGAGAAATAAAGTCCCATCAGTTACTATTATCCGTAGTGGTGTTAAGTTTTCTAGTTCAGTCACAGTCCTGCCTAGATGATTAAGCTGTCAGGTTTGCTACCACCACCATTTCTTATATAACTTGACAGAGGGTAGGGGAAGAAAAAAATAGTTAATACGCACAAAAATGCATGGAACAAGCAATGAAGCAAATTTGCCTAAGTGCTTATTTCTGTAACTGGTCATGAAACTGTGGTTTATATTGACAACTTCTTCGTCTACTTCATTTACTTTGTTCCCGGCCAGCACTTTAGCTGGTCAAGGCTCTTTACCTAGTAGGGAGGCTGACTCTTCATTCTGGAAGGATCTGAGTCCTTAGGTGTTGGTTGTTTATTAGCTTTCACTGTTTAGTAAGAGAATATTAAGAGGCAACCTGAGACTGGGATTTCAAAATGTAGGATAGATAAACAAGATTATACTGTATAGCACAGGGAAATAGATGCAAGATCTTGTGGTAGCTCACAGCGAGGAAAATGTGACAATGAGCATATTTGTGTTCGTCGTGCTCTTCACTGGGATTTGACACAGCATTGAAAAATGATTATACATCAATAGAAAGTGTTTAACATTAAAAAAAAAAGAACAACAACAACAAAAAGGCCGCCTGAGAATCTGCTGGGTTCCTGACGTAGTTCTTACTGACCCCACTGTATAGCAGAAGACCAGCTTCCTTGTGATAACCTGGATCCGTCACCCCAGCCATGGCAGGAACCTCTTTCTTTGCTTATTGGTTTAGTGTCATAAGGAGCCTATCATATTCAGGTGTCAGTCTTCTAATTCACCTGAACCATTTTGTGTGCCCTGGTAGGAACACTTTTTTCCCCCATGAGAACTGACTGCCGAATCAGCATAGCCCAAGTTTATGGGATGGGAATCTAAAAATTCTGTGAGTGAGTTATTAAACATGACATTGAGAGAAATCCACCCTGTTTTTATTCTGGGATTCTTGGACCCATGTATTCTGGCAGTGGGAGAAGTGATACCATTTACCAATCACTGGTTCAGAGTGTAGCTACGTCTTACATAATAGCACCTCAGCCGCTCAGGGGCTTGTCTCCCAGCTGGCCTAATATCCGAGTCTTAGTAGGTTAGCACATTATTCTATCAAGCCAGCCACTTCTGGGTGAGTGATCTGGTACATGGAAAAACCGATGAATTTCATAGCTATGAGCTCATTACTACATTTCTTTTGTTGTGAAATGAATTTCTCATTTAGAAGTTACGTAGTGAGAGAGAACCATGTCTGTGAGATTATGGTTGGCGGTATTATGGGAAGGGACTTAGGCTTGACACCCAGGATAAGTATTTTCATGAGGACAAATTGCTGGCCCTTTTACTAGAGAAGGGATCCAATGTAATTAAGCCACTAGGTGGCTGGTGTCTCCCAGGAAGTGAGGCCCTGCTGGTAGCTCAGCATTGGTCCCCGTTCTGAGCAGGTTAGGCACTCAGCAGTGACAACAGTGAGATCAGGATTGTTGAGAAGAACTTCATGTTGCTGAGTCCATGTATAACCTCCATGCTGCTGCCATATGTACTTTGTACATGAGCCCGCTGAGCAAGCTCTGGGGTGCTAGGGACAGAGGATCGCTGACAGCCGCAGGGTGGGTGGATGAAGACTTCCTCTGCAGTGGTGGTTCTGTGACCATCATATACGACACAGGTCGTCTCATATCTTGTGCTCATCCTGAGAGATTCATTCACACATCCCTGCCCCTGATTCCTTGTCATTAAATGTTTTCTGATCTTATTCTCTCAAAGCCCCCGACCACCTGGCCAACCATTAGCCACTGCCCATGAAATACTGTAGATTTACATCTGAGGGCCTCTCTTTACATAGACAAAGCAGACAACCGGAAGTCCTGCTCGAAGTTCAGCCCACCGAGATCTCCCTTCACCTTTACCTTTCAGAGACACTCTAGGTTGGAATGGCAGTTGCTAAAAAATATTGTGAAGAACCATCCAAATACCAGGCCTGAGTTCCTCCTTCCTCAGCACACAAGCTCTGGGCGTCCTCAGGACCCCCTAGGTGTAGACTGAACAAACAGCTGTTTAGGAGTCGCTGTAGGCCTCTGAGCCACTTGATCATGCAGCTTGCTGGTGCCTTCAGGACCTGCTTGAGCCGGATCTTGTACATATCAGTTCATTTGCACATGCCCAACTTCGTAATTTCGTGGATGAAGTAATACTTCATTAGTAATTAGGAGAAGTGCAAATTAAAACCACAATGATACCACTAGCCACCCACCAAAATAGCTCAAATTTAAAGGATGGTTAATAGCAAGAGTTGACAAAGAAGTGGAGCAGTGGCACCACTGATACACCGTTGGCAGGAGTATAAATCAACCCAAATATTCTGAACAAACAATTTGGCATAATCTAGAAAAATGGAAAGTCCCATATGTTACAACCTAGCATTTGTGCTTCAAGGCGTATACCTTACAGAAATGTGTGCATATATGTGTGATGTCACCTGTACAAGAATGTTCATAACAATATTATTTTTGATAGATCAAATGAAGCAACCCAAACACTCATGAACATAGAATAGACAAGTAAATTGTGGTACATTCATGCAGTGAAACACTATACAGCAAAACTAAATGAGGGTGTCATAGCCACATAGAGCTACATGGATTCATCTTAAAAAAAGCAATACTGAACAAATGAAGAAAACAAAAGGAATATGTACCATATGATTCTGAAAGTCCAAAAGCAGGCAAAATGACATAGAATTGTGAATGCATACTCAAGGGCTAAAACTAAAAAATAAGCAAAGAAGTTGATACAATAAAGGTCAAGATGGCAGTTGCCTATGGGGAGAGGATGAGGTTGGAAAGAGGCACATGGAGGGTATTCTGGCGGGTGGGAGAGATGGCTGCGTCTACTTCCTGACCAGGGTGCTGATCCTCATTCACTTCATTTGTGATAATTCATTAAACTATACACTTGCTTTAGTGCATATTTCTGTATTTCTTCCCCTATAAAAGTAAACTTGGCTTAAAAAAATGCCAGAGTTATAAAATTTTGGTAAATGAGAAAAATATTGAAGATAATTCTTAAATCTTTGTCATTAATAGCAATTTCTCCCATCCTAACATTTGGCCCAGCCATGGACAAAATTGTAAATTAGGTGCGAAAGTGTAGTTTATTTAAAGTAGGGTGGTTAGGGAAATCTGTAAGGGGATGACATTGGAATTGATAACCTGGAAAAAACGCACCAACCACAGGAAAAGGAGGCAGCAGGAATTCCAGACAGTAGGAACAGTAAGTGTGAAAGAGCTGAGGCCTAGAGGAGCATGGCCCGTTTGAAACAGTCAGAGCCAAGAGTGGCCTCTATGGGAAACAGTGATGTATGGGGTAACATCTACAGTGTATGTGTGCAGTGATAAGTTTGGAGAGGGAGAGAGCCAGATCCTGTTGAGTCTTACAATCCAATGGAAGACTCCCCCCCACCCCACGCTATGTGTAATGGGAATTCATTGCACTGGAAATAGATGTGATATCTGATTTACACTTTAATAAGATCATCTGGCTGTTACAGAGCAAATAGCAAATGGTCCAGCTGAGGGATGATGATGGTCTGGTTGTGTTGGTTCTGGAGACAAGTGGTCAGATATTAAAAACATATTGGAAATAGAGCTGAGCAGACTTGATGCCAGACTGAGGTTGAAGATGCATAAGAACAAAATGAAAGATTATATTTAGGTTTTGTCCTTAGTAGCTGGGTGAATGGTGGTACCATTGACTTATGAATTAATGGGGTCTGTGCAAGAAGCATATTTGAGA